GACTGGGGCGACCCAGAGCCTGCCTTTTCCAGCGCCCACGCACGCTGCTTCCCACGACCCGGCCCCCCGGAAAGTAACCGGCACAGCCTCGGAGAGAGTAATCTGATCTCCGAGGCCAGCCACAGCCAGGAAAGCCCGCGATAGACGCTCCCGTACCCGGTCAGGCACAAAAGTATCAAAATATCTCTTTATTCGAAACCGAGCTGTTCCTACACAGCCCAGCCCGTCTCCGCAGGCAACCGGATCTGCCTGAAGGATGCCCACTTCTAGGCTCCAGGCAGCGCTCGAGCCCACCCACCCCTCTGCCCAGGTGCCCACACAGAGCCTGGGCGGCAGGCAGCCTCTGTCTCCGGATGGGGCGTGCCTGTGGTGGACCCTGCCAATCTCAGGTCTGGGAGCCAGTGTCTTTGATCCCCTGGAGGAAGGGACGGAAGGAAACCCTCTGGGCCCGACTGCATTCCCACTGCTGCCTCTGCCCCATCTGAAATGTCCCGCTGCTCCACTTCCCTGGACTCATCTCCTCAGCCCCGTCTGCCTCCCCTGCCCTCCTTTCTTCCCCCTACCCCGTGTCCTGTTATGTTTAGTTTCTGATTTTTAGTGCAGGCTCTTTCTCTCTTGCCTTCTCTCCTAGGCCCAGCTGCATTCCTCACACACCACCAACCACCTCCCTCCCACCACCGCCTTGCTGCCGACCTGGCCTTCACAGCTGATCTTCATTCTAGCTCAGGTATGGCTGCCACCCCACACCAGCAGCTATGCCTGCCACCCCAATTCTTTTCACTTACTCTTCTGGCTTCCTGGTGTATCTCCTAAGCCTTTCCTCAGCTCCTCCTAGGCCCTGCTGGTCTTTCCTCCTCACCCTGAGACCCCCCTGACCCCTAACCCTCATCTCTCCAAGGGTTCTCTTTGCCTAATCCCTTCCTCACCCACCTCCTCCCACAGCAGCTTTGCTCTCTCCCTAAGTGCCAGGCCCCCTGGCCTCCTCTTCCTGCCTCCCTGCTGGCTTTCTTACTATCGCTGAAGACGAGAAGAACCAGAAGAACCGCTGCTACATCTATGGCTGGTCCGGCCCTATGTCTTGCTCAGTCTCAGCATCCTGCTCCTGCTCCTGCTCCTCCTTCATCCTCTGACGAATCTCATTGGCCTCGGCCCGATCCTCCTCCTCAAAGAATTCCTTGTCCAGGCGTTCCAGTTGTGGTATATGCACCAGGGCCTCCTGGCGGTAGTCACTCTCATCTGTACACGGGTTGTCCAGCAGCACCAAGGCTCGAAGCTTGGGCAGGTTCTGAAGCTTGGCGAGCTCCTGCAGGTTGGATACCATGTTGCCCCTGTGGGTGCAGTCAGGAGGGGTTCGTGGGAATAATGATTTTGGAGGCGAGCTGCCAGGAATGGAGCCTCTGGGGGAGTCTCCCATGGGCTCCAGCTTCCCTAGAAACACTGCCTCTTACAGGTCGGCCTGCCACGCATTGCCAGATTTGCTGCAGGGTTGCTGTCCAGCTCTACTCCTGTCCTGCTTCTGTCCTTCAAGGAATCCCTAAGTGCCATATTCTATTCCGCAATGTGTCCTATTTATCCTTCTGGAGCAGCAAAGCTAGGTCACAACCCGGTCTTGTAGTTGGGGAGGAGGGGGGCATCTCCCTTGGAGGAACAGACTTCTGTGTCAATTACACCTACTCAGAGGTTAGGAGGACTTGGGGCAGTGAAAAAGGAACTGGGATTGACGCTCAAGGTAGTGAGTGCTGCGTCATGCTCCCCGCTGGAAGGAACCTAGAGGTAAGGATGGGCCGGGGCCCTGGTCAGCAAACTGCGGCTCGCGAGCCACACACGGCTCTTTGGCCCCTTGTGTGTGGCTCTTCCACAAAATACGTGTGGGCGCGCACGTACAGTGCGATTGAAACTTCGTGGCCCATGTGCAGAAGTTGGTTTTCGGCCTGGGCGAGTCTATTTTGAAGAAGTACTATTGATATTTGGCTCTGTTGACTAATGAGTTTGCCGACCACTGGGCTGGGGCCTCCCAGCATAAAGAACAAGCTTCATCTCCTAATGTGCCTCCTCATACAGCTATTTTCATGTGTTTGCTTCAAGCCTGTATGAAATCAGGTTTAAATGTTTCCACTTTATCTCAGTGGAGGTGCTGAACCTCACGCCGCCGTATGTCTCACTGGGAGCGCTGCATGCACTTCGTGCTGGACTGCCCTGTGCATTGCAGGAGGTTGAGCATCTTTGGCCCCAGAGGCACCTCCTAGTCATTGAGACAATGCAGCTCCACTACCCTTACTTCCAAACCTCCCCAGTGAACAGCCACGGAAAAGGGTCCACTCTCCCTGCCCAGGCTAGTAACAGGAAGACAGAAGCCCCTCCACCCTTCCAGACCAATGTGGCAGAGCTAATTAGCAAGAGACTGTTCCATGAATTAAAGCTGGAGTTGGGGTTCAACCATCTCTCCTACTTGGAGATTCTGTTTCCATTGCCAGTCTTTGTGTGTGTCCTTTTTATAAATATAAATATATATAAATATATTGATGGGCCCTGCTCTGTGCGTGACAGGGGGTGGCGCCGCAACCTCCCCATCGACCCTGCCTTGAGCGTGACAGGGGGCGGCGGCCCAACCCCCCAATCGGCCCTACCCTGAGTGTGACTGAGGGTGGCATCGCAACCTCCCGATCCGCCCTGCTCTGTGCATGACAGGGGGCGGCGCCCCAACTCCCCAATCAGCCCTGCTCTGAGCCTGACCAGGGGCTGCACCTAGGGATTGGGCCTGCCCTCTGCCACCCGGGAGCAGGCCTAAGCCAGCAGGTCGTTATCTCCCGAGGGGTCCCAGACTGCGAGAGGGCACAGGCCAGGCTGAGGGACCCCCCCTTCCCCCCCCCAGTGCACAAATTTTTGTGCACCGGGCCCCTAGTTATTATTATAAATATAAATGGTGAGAGAGAATCATTGATTGGCTGCCTTCTGCATGCCCCCTACTGGGGATCAGGGATCAAGCCCACAACCTGGGCATGTGCCCTGACCGGGAATCAACCCCGGGAACCTGGGAATCAAACAGTGACTTCCTGGTTCATAGGTTGATGCTCAACCACTGAACCATGCTGCCTGGCTCCATTGCCAGTATTGACTAAAGAGGCCTTGTTGACTAAGGAGGCAGTTTTCTTACATCTTTGCTTAATGAAACACACATAAAATCCTCCATCAGACAAGAATTGCTGAGAGAAAATCTCTGATCCTGAGTGCTTTTCTATCTAGAGATTTCCTTCAAATATTCTCTGCTCACATCTGAGCACATTTTGTGTTTTATGTAAGTAAAGGAGCCTTACAGGTGGGGCTCAGGATAAGAGAGGCAGGAAATGGGAAGGGGAATTGGGGTCCAGAAGATGGAGAAGCAGAGTAGAAACTTATATGGGATAGAAACAAAACATAAAGTGGGAGCCAGATTGTGTCCCTTGAGAACAGGGGCCATCTCTGGTGCCTTTAAATGTTTCTGAAACACAACACAAGAGCTGGCATAGAGCACGTTCTCAATAACTGTGGGTTGAATGCATAAGGATTTGGGGGTCTCGGGCTATAAAGATCTCAGCGTTGTAATTAGGATTGAATGCAGAAAAAAGTAAGGAAAGGAGGGATGAGGATCAGGATGGAGGATGAGGTGAGAATCTGAGAATGGGCTAGGATTGGGGGATTGGGACCGGGAAGAACACGGTCAAAAGCTGCTCCTGATCAGGGGTAGGAGCAAGGTGGGGCCTGGAGGGCGTGCATACCTCAGGTTGAGGTACTGCAGTGATTTCATTCCCTCGGAGAAGCCACTCAGAGTGTCAATCTGGTTGTCTCTAAGATGCAAGGTAGTGAGATTCTTTAGGTGCTCCAAGCCTTCCACCTTCTTCAACATATTCTGGGCCTAGATTCCAGGATACAGTAGATGTATTGGGAGAGGGGAGAGGAATAGGGAAGGAAGAGAAGTCAGAAAGAGATGCAGCAAAAGAGGAAATCTAAAAGGTAGATAAGGAGGGGTCAGGAGGGGAGTAGAGATCGGTAATAAGAGTAAAGAAATCCAGGAGAAGCTGCCAGAGAAAGGTCAGCAGTAACTTCCCACTGACTGCTCATCCCACCAGAGCCACCTCTGATTAAGCAGGCGATGCCTTAACCCACCCCCAGGTCTCAGAGCCCCACTGCTCTTCTGAGGAGAAATTACTTCAGCCCCATCCCGAAACGAGGAAGCTCAAGAGTCTAAATGACTGGACGTTTAAGTGGCCTCCTTAGCCTGATGTCTGAACCTCAATTATGGCACATTATGCTGCTACCTGTATCAAAGCAAACTGTTCCCGTGTTATCCACACTTTAGGTATTATCAGCGATGCTAGGTGGTAAGCACCTTGTTTGTTGTAACTGGCATCAAGTAATGGCTCAGTAAATGATGCCAATTATCAGCATGATGATAATAGCACCTTGTTTGTTGTAACTTTTCATCGCCACAGCATCTGGCATCAAGTAAGGGCTCAGTAAATGATGCCAATTATCAGCATGATGATAAAGTCAGTAGCTGAGTCTACTAGAAGCCAAGCCTCCTGGCCCCCCAACCACAGTGCCGTCTTCCCTGCACCAGCCACCCTCTGGCCCAGGGAGCTACCAGGAAGAGGTTCTTCAGCGTAGGAAGGTTGATCCCCACTGTGCTTTCCAGTTGGTTCCCTCGAAGCTCCAGTGTGTGCAGGCTGATCAGCCTTTCGGGGTCCATACCTGTCACCAGGCGGATGTGATTCCCTGAGGGGAAGGAGGGTGTCAAGAGCTCAAAGGGCCACTCCGAAGTGTTCAGCAGCAGAGCCTGAGTTTTGGGAGCCTCTGCATCTTTCTCTCCAATGCCAGTTGGATACAAGGAGAGACAAGTCCAGACTTAACACCTCAGGGGCCCCGGGCAAGTGGTCTGGTGGTCCAGGGCCTGAAGGACTTGTCCACCCAGCAATCCACATCGCCAACTAACTCCCTGTCCTCCCCCAACTCTTTGCTCAAATGTTAGCTTTTCAATGATGTGTGTCCTAACCCATCTGTTAGAAATTGCCACTTGTGCCCCCGATTCCTTTTACCCTAATCTATTTCTCCATAGCACACATCTCCTTTTAACTTACTGAATGAATTTGCTCATTGTGTTTACTGTGTTCATGGTCTGTCTCCCCCATCTAGATTGTAAGCTGCATGAGAATCCCTCCACTGCATAGAACTGCCATAATGAATCAGAATGTGCCTGAATGAATGAATACGAATTGCTGTGTGGCACAGCCAAGGACCACACTGCTCACTTCTGTTGGCCCCAGGCTAGGAAGGAAGGAATCTGTGTAGCCCATCCTATGGACCCACCTTTGAGGTTCAGGATGCCCAGACGAGGATGAGAGATGCCCTCCGTGTCAGTGATCTGGTTATAGGCAAAACTGGCAATCTGCAGGTAAGGCAGTTCGTTCAGCTGGGCACTCCGCAGCCGGTTGCCGTCAGCCTTGAGCCAGAGCAGGTGGGTGAGGTGATTGAGTGCGGACACGTCCGTCAGATGGTTCTCAGAAATATCCACGTAACGCAGATGGATGTAGGAACGCAGCAACTGGATGTCCGTCAGTTCTCTAGGAGATGGAAGAGGCCATGGTTAAGGGTGAGAATCCAGCAAGGACTGGCAGAGATGCTAAGGCAGAAGGCAATATGGAGATGGCTTATAATGGGGAGAAGAATGGGTGACAGATCGTAGGAGTGAAGGGGAGAAGAGAAGGTAGATGGATTCTTAATAGTGGGCAAGGACCTTGTGTCTTTGAAGAGCTGAGACCTGACACCCAGAAGGACAAGTGAGGGAGTCCAGCAGGAATCCCACATTCCCTCTCACAGCCTCCACTCCTCAGGCCAGCCCTGATGCGGGGAGTCGCAGGGCTCCTGAAAAGTAATGTTGACCCTTCCCTCCCACTGGTCCAGGATGAGAGAGATCCAGACTCTCAGCTGAAACTCCCAGGAATGAGGGTGAGAATGGAGATTGGGCCCTACAACCTCATTTCTCTCCCCTCCCAGCCCCTCACCCCCCAATGCACCTCTCTTTAACCTCCAGCTTGACATAAGCATGGGCCAATCCATTGCCGGTCTTACAGAGCAAAGAAAGCCCTTCCTTCATCATGTCCTCGGTGAGGGGGGTCGGCATCCACTGCAGGAGGAAGTGCAGTCAGGCATCCCTTTCCAGCCCAACCCTATCCTTAGCCCTAGGACCTCTCCATTTCCATGCTCTCACTTCCTCTGATAAGTCTTCCTCCTCTTTCCTGTCATCTTCCCAATCTTCTGTGTCCTTCTCATCGTCCTCCCTTTCCAGATCATCCTGGTCTGGCTCAAAATCTTCCAGATCGTCTTCATCTGACATCTTTCTTCCCTGCTGAAGGCTGGCGTCCGATCAAGCTGGGTCCTCGTCCTGAGAAAGAAGGTCTCCTTAGCGCCTGCCAGCCCATCAGCTCTCTCACTTCCACTGATGGGGTATTATCCCTCCCATCACCTCTGATCTCTTCCCAAATATGCCTCTTTCCTCATCCCTGTGAGCATCTCACTTTGACTCCCAACCTCCACTTCACATTCCCCATCTTCACATTCCAGGATGCCTTTCCTGACCCCCGAGACCCTTTCTGCTTTCACAGTGGCTCCAGCTCTCCTCCAGCAGCTCTGTCCCCCTCTTCCTGGACCCCCTCCCCCCAGTCCTTCCCATCTCCATTCTAAAGTAAGCCGCCAGTCCTCCGATCTTCCTTACCGACCCTCCCCTTCCCTTCCATCCCTAAGTCCCGCTCCACTCAGTCTTCTAACTCTCCGCCTGCTTCGCCCCGTTCCCTGTGCCCTCGGGGACACCAGCCGGACAGTCCCCAATCCTCCCACCCAATCCTCCTGCCCAGAAGGGAGCGGACTGTGGTTCCGCTCAATGACAAGCTGGAGAGGGTCTCGGCCGGGGGACACCAGCCGGACAGTCCCCAATCCTCCCACCAATCCTCCTGCCCAGAAGGGAGCGGACTCTGGTTCCGCTCAATGACAAGCTGGAGAGGGTCTCGGCCCCAGTGAAGGATTGCTTCGGAAGATGGGAAAAGGGGACGGAGGCGTTGTGTATTGTTGTTATGGCAACGGAGGGGCGGGGCACTGGACGTCCGCAGTTGACAACCGTTGAGAGAGGAGCCGCCACTAACTGAACCGGATCAGTTGACAAGTTACAAACCCACGTTCTCAAACCCAGGAACCCGGATGAGGA